ATCATCGCCCTTGTCGGGCAGAACCCCGTGCGCGCGGCTTGCGTGGGAGTGGATGGCTCGTCCTTACGTAAGGCCAGTGGTATTTCATGTAAAATGTCTCAGTGTTCTTGTTGTTTTATAGTGTTGCTTTCAAAGACTTACATCACTGTACAGTGTGTGCCTCTCTCATAATTGGAGAAGCTGCATCACAGGAATGTGGTTTTTTAAAAAAATGTAACTGTTTCCAGTACTGTGTTAAGAATATAACTGTAATACTGTATGCCATAAACAGTTTATAATGATTTATTCATTAGTGTATGGGCTGGGCTACCATGAAAGAGCCGTATCGCTGCTTTTTTCATCAGCGGTACATGGACTGTTTTACCTGAAAATACGGATTTTTCACATTATCTTTTCTTTGATGTCTGGTGTTAGTAATAGGTAATCTACAGCGTTTGTATCATGTAAGACAGTATGGGTGTAGGTACTGGCAATTCATCCTGTGAACAGGTGATGCAAACCTAACGGTATTGAGACAGTTCAGTACTGTGAGTGTATTTTCTCTTCCTCTGATTTATTAATAATGTCTCCTTTTCTCTAGCTTACTTTATTGTAAGAATACCATATACCAGGTCTGTCCAGAAAAAGTCCAGCCATTGTTAGTATAATCAGAACCATTTGTGCAACATTCATGAAACCTGGCAGCCAAAGACAGTGGACTGGAATGCACAGGTGTGAACAAGGACCACTTCACTGTACTAGTCTTTGGGGGCGGTAGACACTGTTGAGTGACTGTGTGTACTGTGTGGCCATCACATTCAAAATGAGCAGGTAGAGCAAAGAATCTGCATCCAATTTTGCGCCAAGCTTGAACATTCTTCCGTGGCAACTGTTTGCATTATTCAGAGGTTGCAGCTATGGGCAGCTGGTGATTGACAGCTTCGTCACGACAGTTCGCCCACTCATGCTTCACGTTTCATGCGGAGTTTTTAGTGAAATGTCAGATCAGCCAGGTGGCTTAGGCCCCCCTACAGCCCAGATTTGGTGCCCCATGGCTTCTGGCTTTTCCCAAAACTAAAATCACCTTCTAAAGGGAAGAGATTTCAGACCATTGAAGAAATTCAGGAAAATACAATGGGGCAGCTGATGGCGATTGGGAGAACTGTGTGAGGTCCCAAGGTGCCTACCTCGAAGGGGACTGAGGTGTCATTGTCCTGTGTTCAATGTGTCTTGTATCTTGTATCTTCAATAAATGTCTCTGTTTCATGTTATGTGGCTGGATACCTTCTGGACAGGCCCTGTGTAATACATGTTCCATACAAAATATGTGCTGATGAACTGTTTATGTGGGCTATTGGTAGTTAAGTTTGGGGGAGTCACAGTTGTGTGCAGATTTTGAACTGCACAGGGAATAGGTGAGCCTGACCCCCACGTTGTTCAGGGGTCAACTATGTATGTTTTAACAAATGAAAGAATGCAAATTTTTTACTTTGTAGGAAGAATACACTTTAAAACAATTGGTGTAAATTACCCATCATGGTGGGGTTTTTTCTAATCATGTATTTCTATATTTATATGTCACACTAGAAAAGAATAAAAATTAGAGATTGGCATTTCATTCCGGATAAAACAAGGTAATGTTGTATCAAGTCTTAGGTTTTTATTTGCTGGGTGATTCCATTTATTTGAATCTGAAAGTGTGTCCTAAATAATTTTAGGATAAAAGTTGAAACTGTTGAACATCCTTTCATGTGTACATACTTTAAAGTTCCAATTTTTAAAAATGCAAGGGTTTGGATTTAGAAGATTTTGTGCAATTTTGCTGATGTCCTTGCATCTCTCCTTTGCTGTTCTCACAGATCTTTATGATTTTTTATTTGTGTTGGACTCTGAACACACTTGAGTCGGCCTTCTCCTGCCAGTAGTGTTTATAGCTGGGTGACGGAGGTAGTTCGGTGTGTAACACGCGCACATAACACGCTCGGCACCGACAACAGGAACCAGGGTGCTGCCTTCTCCTTTGCCTGTCACTCACCCTGGTGAGGGACGTGGTAACCACCGGGTGATAAATGTTCAGCATTTTCTTGTTTAAAAAGCATGTGTACTTTCTCCTTCAGTTGGATAAAGTGATTTGTAAGAAAAACACATTGAAGTTGGTCTGTCCAACCAGGGACGCCAGGCCACTGCAGGTGTTCCCAGCAGAGAACATTTAAGGCGCATTGGTGTTGCTGAGAGCCCAGCAGGGCACCGAGGGCTGACCCAGCGGTGGGCTGCAGCAGGACACCGCCACCACGTCTGGGCTGGAGAGGAAAGCGGACCCAGCGGCCAGCGCTAACTGTGGAGGCGGGAAGTGGGGCAACTTGGAGAGCAGTTGGAGCTGCTGCGGGAGAGCAGAGCCAGGGAGGAGAGAGGAGAGGTTTGCAGGAGACGCACCCTGGCTTCCGGCCTCTGTGTCCCCCGGGTGCACCTCCGGCCGCACAGAGCAGAGCAGAGGCAGAGATTGGAGCTGAGGGCAGACGACCGCTTTGCGGAACACTCTCCTGAACTTTTATTTCTTTTCACCTTGATCCCCTCTGAATATGTCCAGGATAAAGCAAAAATTTAAAACCACGCTGGCCTTCAGTTCTGCGGACGTGAGGGCCCTTTGGCTGCACCCTTGGTGTTCCCTGGCTCCTCGCCTGTCCGTGCCTCCCCAGGCCGGGTCCTCAATGGGAGGGTGTGGGCTTCTCTGGCCTGTGTAACCTGTTTTTGGGTGCACGGTGAGCTTGCACCCCCTCCCCACCCTGTTACAGATGCCTAGGCAGGCCTAGAACTAGTCAGTTTGGAATGTGCTCACGCCTTTCTCACAGACGACTGACCGGGGGCCTCCGAGACAGTCGGTGAAGCAGGTGTCTCTCTCAGGTAGCAGAGGGGTAGTGTTAACTTCTGTCCCTGAAACTGGTCTTGGATGATTCGTCCTGATTCACTCATGACCAACGGATGGAGAACACAGCACTAGGTGAAGAGTAAACGTGATTTGTTGCTTCCATTACAAGATAATGAGTGGAATCCAACTTAAGTATGAAAGTCGAGGTGGGCGTCCAGTAAATGTTTATTTACAGTATATATTGTGGCACGTCGGTTACTGGCTTTGAGAAACAAGGTTATGTCTGAAAGTCCCCGAGAAACAACCCTGTCGGTTTATAGAAAAGGAAACAAGGAAACGAGCACGCGCATTTGTGATCTCGAAGAGCCAAATGTAGCCGAGAAATAAATGTGTCCTCGATGCTAAAAACTACTTTTAAACTAGGGAAGCCTTATGGTCATCGCAGAAAGTCCAGAAACATGAGAGACAGCGAGCGTCCCACACTGTGCACGTCCCTGGCGGTGCCCGTGGGGACGAGCTCGTTCGCCGCAGACGCTCGCCGAGCATCCGGGGCGGCACTCAGTGTGCCGGGCCCTGCGGGAATGTGGGTGGCAGAACGGCGGCAATTTTTTACTTGGGTTTTACTTTCACGGCTCGTTCTAGTGGAAAAGGAAGCTCTCCAGGGGAAGGGCAGTGAGCGTGTCAGGTGCGGGTGCGCGCCATGTAGGCGGAGAGGAGAGCAAGGGCGGTGGGCCGTGTTCTCTGCAGGACCGGGAGGCCTCGAGGAGCCGGTGGTCGAAGTGGTCTGATGAGGCAAGGGGGTGAAGAGGACAATTATTTGTGCTGTTTCTACTTTCTTTTCCCTCAAATTGCCTTGCTTTGACTATGCAGTGCCTACGTAGCGTTTTACTATATGGAATGTTTTATTATATGGATACACCTTACGTAGTGACCGGTTCCCCACTGATGGACGTGCAGGTGGTTCCCAGTTTTCCAGTGAGTCACGGACAGTTTCACTGCCAAAGTCCTGATGCCTGTGCACGAGCGCCCGGACCGTTGCTCTCCATGTGCTCGAAAGGGCTTCAGAAGACACCAATGCTCAGATTTGTTCAGAGCAGTTTTGGAATCGGGACCTCTGGGGGCGGGAGCCAGGTTTTTATGTTTTTAGGAGGCCAGGGAACCACCGCCGCAGGCTGACTCCTAGAAGTGGCCAGCCGAGTCAGTGATAAAAGACACTGTACATTTAGTGGGTGCCCTAACATCATTCTCGGTGTTAAAATTAGGAGCAGTCGCCAGTGATGGAAACCTAAAATAAGTGGGCTTGAACAAGTTAGTTGATTTCTGTTTTATGTGAAGTTCTAGATGTGGGCAGCCAGGGCTGGGCTGGCAGTTTTGTTCTGCAAAGTCCTCATGTGCCTGGATTCCTTCTTGATCTCGTTTTTGTTGAACTCGGGGGATGGGGAGTGGGAAGCTCCCAACCTCAAGCTCCAAGACAGAAGCTCAGTCTCCTGCCAGGACGTCCATGCACCAGCCACAGAATGGAGGCAGGACCACGGGAACTTCACCCTGGGCCCTCTGAGCCAGAACTTGGTCACAGGGCCACATCCAGCTGCTTGGGAAGCAGGCTTTCTCTGGGAGGCCCTGCTCACAACCAGACATCCTTCTATGTGGGGGCGGCGGGTACACGGTAGTGGCAGCCACTAGCAGTCTCTGCCGTGCCCTCCCGGGAAGCTGTGAGGATCTGCCCACCTGCCCGCAGACAGGGAGGGCCCGCTGCCCACCCCTGGCCTGCCCGGGCCAGCCCAGGCCACCAAGGCCGTAGGGAGCTCGGGCAAAAACCTCAGACAGCGCTGGCTTGAGGAGACACCAAGCGGACTTTGGGGAGACTCAGGAAAGATGCCAGAGCTGTAAACTTCATTGTTGTGAGAAAACAGCGAAGGTGTTGAAGGCCAGTTTTTTTAACTGGGTGCAGTTCTTTGTTTCTCCCTGGTGTTCATTCATTACCTTCCAGCATATGCAGGTTGTCTGAATGTTAATGCTGCACTGTCTGAACCTGCTACGCCAGGAGGACATCTTAGGACTGAATTTTTATCATTCAAATAAGCGTTTTTAAATTAGGAAATGAAAAGTGACTTGCACATGGCTTTGTTTCACCGGCGTCTTCCTGTCATTGCAGTGGATGAAGGTCGCAGTCAGGAGCCCGACCGCGTGCAGGTGTTCTACAGGAAAGCCATCATGCCTTACGGCGTCTACAAGAAACAACGCAGAGACGCCAGCGAGGAGGCCGACGTGCTGCAGTACGCGAGCCTGGTCGGGCAGGCGTGCGCCGAGCGGATGCTGCTGTTCCGGAGCTGAGCCCGTTCCGGAGCTGAGCCCGTTCCGGAGCTGAGCCCGTTCCGGAGCTGAGCCCGTTCCGGAGCTGAGCCCGCACCCTGCCCGGTGCCTGGTGCCCCTGCCCAATGCGTCCCTCGGGGAGCCCCGTGTGCACCCACAGATACGACTTTATTTTGACTATTACATGGCTTTTCTAAGCTGTTTATGGCAATGTATTTGTGAGAATCTCATGGTTAATATAGAGATTTAAAAAATATATAACCTAGCCTCATAATCGGGGTTTATCGCTTTGGAAGTTTGTTTTATGAACAAGATGTGGTAAACTGCTCTTACTGTTAATATTTTGGAAAGTAAAATTAATACGTAAATCTCAAATACCTTAAATTACAGTTGCGCTTTTTTGTTCTGTTAGAAATCAAAACAGGCTGTCTCCTCAAATCCATTTAAAACATTGGTTTATGCTTTAAAAATAAAAAGCCCTTCAGTGTGGGGAAGAAGGTGGGGAGTCTGTTTCATCGCTTAGAAAGTGTCCTCTCGAGAGGACGGAGCTGCTGTTGCTCCGCTTTCGAGTGTCGGTCACTGCGGAATGTCAGGTAGTCTAACCAGAGAAACAAGGTGCAGACTGCAGCAGAAAGGTGTCTGGACGTCGGCCGGCTGCCTACCCGCGGCAGCCCCGCTCATGTCCGCTCACGTCCGCCGTCCTGGCCTGGTTTTCTCCCGGAAAAATGGTTGCTGGTGTTTTTAAAAATCCAAGAAAGGGCGGTTTATAAAGAAAAACGTTGGCCCCTGCCTTCACCTAGGCCTCATTCCTTGAACTCAGGACACTTGTCTTCGGTTGTTGATTTAGAATTAGCTAGTAGTCTGACAGTGCTTTTAGAGCTGTGCGACAAGTCGCATCTGAGTAGGTGGGAAGGCTTCTGACCTCTGTTCCGGGGAGGGGTGGAGCTGCATCGCCTGCCCTTTGATTTGGGCCCCCTGGAGGAGGAGGGGCACCGGGCGCTGGAAGCAGAGGCTGCCCCCCTTGTCCTTGTACCTTCTTTTGTTTGGCTCTTTGCCCCTGGAGCAGATGCCCCTCGTCCGCCACCGTCCAGGTGGCGGTCACTGTGCTGGGCGAAAGTCCCGGTGAGCTGTGTGGAGGCGGTGCGGACAGAGGGTTCCTTCCCTGGGCGCTTTCTCAGCTGGTCCCCGTCCGCTCTGGTGGCTGCTCAGCCCCTTTTACCCATTTTGCCCGTTTGTCTGTTGTCTGTGTGTGGATCTTTTTGAAGCCATATCATAAAGCTTAGCAGTTTGAATCTCTCTGATGACTTAAAATTGTCCTTCTAGATGCACTGAATACAACATAAAATAATATCAACCAGCTAGAAGAAAAGGAAGGCTCATAAAACAGTGATTTTAAAAGTCAGCTGTCTAGAAATTCAGCATCCAAATAAACTGTATTCATTCAGACCTGCCACGTGCAAATACTTGGCAGACTGGGGATAGAGTCGTGAGCACAGCCGTTCTCTCTGACAGCGTGGATTTTACTACTTCTGGGGTTTTCTTTTTCATAGTCTCCCAGGAGCATTTAATTGACTCTTATTTGGAATTGCCTTCAGAATCTGTGGAATATTTTTTCTTTTCCCCTCTAAAATGAAAAGAGCTTAATTTTCTATTACAAAAATGACACTGTAGGCAATTAAAATATTAAGAAAATATAAATAAGAAAGTAAAAATAATCGGAAATCTCGCTACAGAGAGAATTGTATAGACATACACATACACAATATATATATATGTGTGTATATACACACACACACACATATATATAATTTTATTATAGGGAGAATCACATTCCACCTGCTGTGTTTTCTCTCAGTAGTAAGTTACGGGCACCTGAACTTGGAAAGCAGTTTGAGCTGGGATTTCAGGAGTGTTGTGAGCAGCCTGAGCATCATCGCAGAGAGGCAGGGTCCAGCTGTGGGGCTCGTGGCGTGGGGGGACCGGGCTGGCATCACAGCCGCTTCCATCTGAGCGGGGAGTGTGCGGAGTGGTATTGAGAGGTCACAGCTCTTGAATGGCCAGTGAAGAGACAGCTTGCGTCTTAAGCAGCGCTGGTTTCTTCCTACGAGCCCCCCAGGGCTCCTTCAGAGGAGAATGACTGGTCACCCCTGTCTGGGGACTGAGGTGCTATTCCTACGTGTGGCCTTCACTCGGCTCCAGTGAAGCTGCAGGGAGAGCCGGGCATGGTGATTCTCCTGCTTGGTCGGTTGCTCTACTCACGTGTTGGGTTTTTGTTTGTTTTATTTTACTTTTTGAGAACAGATAGTGTATTAATCCTGATAAGCAACATTTCTTGAAAAGACACTTTCCTTTTGACTTCTAGCTCAGTGTTGCTAGTGGGCCAAAGGGGCACAACCGGGGAGAGTGAGCGATTTGGGCAGCTGACCGGCAGTCTGGCTGAGACGTCCGGCGGTGCGTTCATGGCTGTCATCTACAGACGGACACAAGACCCTCTCAGGGACAGCTGATAGCTTTGCAAAGCCGGAAGCTTTGTGTTTATCATCTTAGCAGTGTGTTCCCTTCCTGATTTCAAATAAATTCAGGCCTGCCTTCCTGTCCCGGGGCGGAAATGTAATGGAGATTCCCCATGCTGCCATCTTTATTGAAATTATTTCAGTTCTGTTGAGATTTTTGTTCTCTTATTTTTCAAAAGTGTACTCTGAGCACTTTTTATTTTCTAAAAGATAGAAGCTATTATCAGATAAATATATTATTCATTTGGTTAAAATTATGTTTGCTTTCAAACAGCTTATCTTTGTATCCATTTTGCAAACTATTAGTTGTGTGTGGTTGCTTAACATATTGGAATCTTTTATGTAAACGAACTTTCCAGAATTCTGAGCAATACAAAGTTGGATTTTATAGGGCTGTATGTTCAGTATGAATAAAGCTGAGAAAGGGTGTGATGACCAGTTACCTGAACTGACTCTCTTTGTTGCTGACTTGAAAGCAAAGAGGGGAACTAAATGATGTAATTGGGAAATGTTTAAACTAGAAGTTGTTCAAACATGTTCTTTTTCAAGAGCAGACCAGTAACTGTAAGACCAAACAGGTTTATTGCATGTTCTGTTTTTTCTCTCGTACGTGCTTTTCTGAACACTCCAGTCAGTAATGCTTACATGGAAAAAATAAAGCCATTTCTATCCACAGCGGCTCTAGCTGGTCAATACAAGGGCACACGTGTTGCCGTCCTTTGAATTTTTGCACACGTTTCACCTGCAGTGGCTGCAGGAACAGAGGTGAAGGGTTGGCCCTTTGAGTCGGGAGACTTGACTTCCAGTGACTGGGGCTCCAGGTCCCTTAGTTACTTAAATCAACACACGATGGATTCCTTTCTCGGGAATGGATACAAGTAAAGTAAATGTCTCCTTAAGCAAAAAGTCTGGATTTTCACAAGTGAGGAAATAGACATTATTGTACCCGGAGGGATTTGAAATAAAATTTTAGTTACAAACTCAAATATAATTTCTCTTAAAAAGTTTAGTTTGTGGAGTGATTTTCATAAATATCTCATAAAGTGAAGTGTGGTTTTTTAATGCGAAGTGTGTTTTAATTGTTTGTAGTCCATAGTATATTGGTGGACTACATTTACAAGTGTTTGTCTTTTTATGGCGAAGAGGATCCTGGTAGGTTTTGTAATGAAATGAATCCAATTTTCTAAGTTGTTTAAATATTAGTTACAATTTCCACTAACATTTTTTCCAGCACAGAAATAGCTTTCTCGTTGCTTTCTTGAAATGGCCAAGGTTCACCAGAGGCTATTTCAACAATATAGAAAAGTACACAGAAGAAAACAGAAGTCACAGTCTCATCACTACTTACAGCCGTTCACGGTGTGGGTGTGTATCCTTTCAAACTTTTTTCTGTCTGCATGTACGTATCTTTTTTTTTTTAAAGAAAATTTAAACTATGCCATGTATGTTGTTTTATAATTTTTTAGCTATTGGATATATTTGAGTATCTTACTATATTGCGAATATGCAAATAAATGAGGAAAGAATGTCATTTTAGTGGCTGCATAATATTCCACGACGCCTGTTGTTTTTGGAGAAAGGGAACCTGAGACTTCAGCCCCGTATTATGTAGGGTTGTAATTGACCAGCAATAATCGTTTATGTCAGTTCTGTGTAAAACTTGGTCACATTCCTGACTCCTCATCTCCCGTTCCCTTTGCTCTTCACTGCACAGCAGGGATTCTCTTTTTCCTCGAAGATTCAGAAAATGTCTAGCTTTTAAAACTTTGTTCACCTCCTCTCATTTTCCCTCAACTGTTTTCTGGGAGACCTACATTACTAATTTTACCATTTGTACACATCTAGATTCTCAGAAAATATCTGTCTTAAAAGCTTCAAGTTATTTAAAGTGAATGAAGCTCTGGCTGGTGTAGCTCAGTGGATTGAGTGCGGGCCTGCGAACCAAAGGATCGCGGTTCGATTCCCAGTCAGGACACATGCCTGGGTTGCAGGCCAGTTCCCAGCAGGGGACTCACGAGAGGCAACCATACATTGATATTTCGCTCCTCTCCTTCCCTTCCTCTCTAAAGATAAATAAATAAAATCTTTTTAAAAAACCTTTAAAAAAAATAAAGTGAATGAAGATTGTGATTCACTGATTCTTTATAGAACAAAGGCTTTTACGTGTGTGTAGTGAGAATGGTGGGTAACCAGACCACCACTGTTATTAATTTAGCTACATTTCTTTCTTTCAAAAATATATTTGTACTTTTTTTAAATCCTCACCTGAAGACATGGCCATGGATTCTAGAGAGGAGGGAAGGGAGAGAAAGAGAACCGTTGATGTGAACGGGAAGCATCAGTCGGTCGGTTGCCTTCTCCTACATGTCCCGACCAACCAGGGACCGAATCCACAGCGTGGGTATGCGCCCCACCAGGAATAGAACCCACAGCCCTTTGGTTTATAGGACAGTGCCTCAACCAACTGAGCCACACGGGCCAGAGCCGTTTATTTTGAGATTTAGTTCCAAGTAAACCTGCATTTTTTGTATCTAGGTGGCTGTGATAGCCAGTACCCTCAGTTGAGTCCATTTCCATTCATTGCTCAATTAGACCAAGAATAAAGTTACTGAACAGGTTTTGCATGCCAAATCTTTACTGTTGTTGGAGCTTCAAAATAGCTTGCAGATTTTTATGGCTTGGTTTCCTCATCAGGTCTCACCTGCAATATAACGAAGCAACTCAGAATAGAAGTGCTGTTGAAAAGGACCTCGCATAGCAAGTCTTAACGTTCTGTGGCATTTGTGAGCTTTGCTAGTCAATTACCCTTGGTTATGGCGCTCACCATAAACGTTTCAGCCACCTTGGAGGAGAGGTGAGACTCTTTGCTTGTCTGGTGTGCGTCCTGCAGGCTCCTAATGACCAGCAGAAAGAGCTGTTTCTTTGATCCGTGTAGTTTGATTGAAGCTGGTATACAAAAGTGTTTTTTCAATTTTATTTATTTAACACCAGCTAGAGCCATACACCAAAAAGGGATAATGATCCTCTTAATGTGCATGATTCAACCATAAGACTTCGGATCATATTTTCCCCCAAATTCTCGTTTTTCATGTTTTTGTCGAGTTTGTGCCAGAGTCTTAACATCATTTAACATAGGCCTTTAAAAAAAAAAACAAATTAGCATTAAACGAGAACTCATGAATACTTCATGAAGTCCAGTTCATCACACTTTGTTAATTCAGTATTCGGTGAGTCTGAATAGCAGTGAGTCTTAACTAATGGAACTTTCTGGTCATGAAAAAAGAAAAACAGCACTTTAGGTTTGTGAATCCAGAGCTTAAGGCTCATCACTCACTTGCATGTGGACAGAGTCCTATGTACCTTTCCAGCATCATTTAAAATACTGAGAGATGGCCCGGCTGTAACTTGGAAACTGTTACCATGTTATTTTACTGACCATTAAAGCAAAGGGATGTGTGTCTACAGGGCGTGTGGGGCTTAAAACTCACTAGTAACGCTATGATTTATTCTCGGTTTGAATTCAAAGAATCAACTCGGCAAAGCATTTGGATTTACAAGACTACGGTAGAAGTCATTCAGACTGACGGAGCAGCCCTGTCCAGTAAGGTCGCCACTAGTAGGTGTGTCTAATTTAATTAAAATTTAAAATTCAGTTCCTCAACCTCACTAGTCGCATGTTGGGTGCTCATGGCTACTGTATTAATTTCCTAGGGCTGCCCCAACAAGTTGCCACAGCCCGGGTGGCTTAAAGCATCAGGAATGGATACTTACCATGCTGGAGGCTTCAAGTCCAAAATCAAAGTGCTGGCAGGGCCCTGTTCCTCTCCTGCGTTCAGCTGTGATGTTGCTGGCAGTCCTTGGTGTTGGCTGGCAGCTGTGTTGTTCCGTTTTCTGCCTTCATGTCCCATGGCCAAGGTCTTCTCTCTGTGCCTTCTCATCTTAGCAGGATACCAGTCATATTGGATTTAGGGCCAACTCTAGGCCAATATGACCACACTCTAACTTAATACACGTGCCAAGACCCTAATTGTAAACAAGGTTACATTCACAGACATCTGGGGTTGGGGCGCAACATATTCTTATGGGGAGAAGGGGCACAGTGCCACCCTCATGAGTTGGAACAGCTCCTTCCTCACAGCATGTTCTGGTGGACGTGCTGTGTGCGGTGCGGTGGTTGTAGAAAATGTGACTATGCCGTTGCCTGATGCTTTTTTAAAGTTTGCATATGGCAGAACACTGTGGAATTAAATATTACAGCACAACACTTGGGCGACTTATTTTCTGGTTGCTTGTCATTCCGTTGTGCCGTCTAGTTAGTTAATCTCTGGCATAAGTGTAGCAAAGCACATGTGTGAGTTTGTCCATCACGACCGTGGGGCTGTGTCAATTTCCTGAGGTCATTGCCATGTCGTGATGATCCACGAGTGAGCTGCCTTCAGAGGGAATGCTTCTTGAAAGAACAATCCGAATGACTGATTAATTCAGCAGTATTTATACAGGATTCCTGCTCTTTCCATATTTCCATTTTCATATTGCATCTTGAACTTTGCAGGTTTCTTTTTATTAACATTTATTTTTTGTTCTCCTTTGAGAGAAACATCGATGTGAGAGAAACACCCATCAGCTGTCTTGTGCAAGCGCCCCCACTGGGGATTGAACCTGCAATCTAGGTACGTGTCCTGACCAGGAGTTGAACTGGCACCTTTCAGTTACAGGATGATGCTCCAACCAGCTGAGCCACACTGGCCAGGGTGACTTTTCAGGTTCCTAATTCTAGTTACATGTTTATTTTCATCAAGTAGGAAAAAAAGTAAATGTATGAATAAACCTTTAGCAATAGAGGATTTAAATGCAGCCCCCAAAGGAAATCTGCCCCCAAATGTGCAGTGAGCTGCCTTTGCAAAAGAAAAGTGGGGAAAATTAACCCCCACTGCACACCCACTCTTCTGCTGTGAGAGAGACTCAGCTGGCGGTTGCCTTCTGGCCTCGTCCGTCCAAGGACAGGTCAGGTTTACAGCTCTGCTTTTAAAAGAATCTTCGTTCCGTGATTGTGTTTTTATGGGTAATTAGGATAACTGATTTTTCAACCTAGTATGGGCAACTTCCTACCAAAACTCATGTCCTGTCCCTCCCCGTGGTGCTCCTGTGGAATCTCAGACCATTGACCAGAGGCCCATGGTCAGTGAGGGAGACAGGTGGTGGCTTCACCGGCACTGGCTGCAGACGCCCGTGAGCGGAGCCAGCGGTGGGGGAGCCCAACGAGGCTCCCGTGAAGGTCACGGCTGAGAGGGGCTCTGCGCAGGGCAAGGGGTGGCAGCTGCAGAAATTTGCCACGCCTGTCTCTGGTCTGCCCCGTTGCCAGCCTCTCCCCGATAGCCGCATTGTGGTCTCACTGTCCTGTGGGCTCTGAAGGCCAGAAAAACAACCGTGTGTGGTCACCGTGTGCAG